TCAGCAGGAAGTTAGGAAGGGTACTTAAACAACCAAACTTTTTAAGGATTAGTCTCTCAGCGCTGAAAGATGAAACTCGACGTGTTCGCCTCCTTCAGAGCAGAAAATGAATTCATCAAAATGCAGCATCGTGATGCATCAACGTACTTGTTTACTGACGGATGTGAACTTCAGAAAATGCTCTCTTCACTCTGAATGTGTCAAGAAGGATACGTATCAGGAAACATCCCACCCAAATACAGAACGTAATATAAAACCGCATCTTAAGGATTCTTGCTCGACTCGACCCTGCTTGATCTTCCTCTTTTCCCCCATCGCTCAGACGTTGGCGTCAAAAGCTTAGATTTAGGGGGGAAAATCGGATCTAGACATGTAAACAAATATAGTGAAAACAGGGTGGCAGACCACAGAAACAGGAAAGCCCAGGGATGCACATGCACGCACTGAGAAGGCAGAGAGGAGCGTGCCTTATTCAAGACTGCACAGTTTTTTATATTTGTGATGTTGGTCTGCATTTGTTCACATCTCTATCAAAACCTCGTGTTCTTTCTCAGAGCGAAAACCTTTGAGATCTGCTGACAACTTGAGAATTTCCCTTAAAAAGTCCTGATATGACAGCGGCCACGGCGACAGCTTCTCAGTCTGGTCTACACTCCTTCCTGTTCCTCGGGATCCGTCGCTCAGTCCTTCAGTGTGTGCGCTCGAGTGGGAGAAAGACAGGCGTGGAAAGGTTCCCCCACATAAAGAGGCCTTTTCATCGAGAAGTTTGTAGAGGATAAATAAACCTCTTCAGAGGCGCAGAAAAAGATGGGGTCTGTGAGCGGCACGTTAGCGGACAGCGCGCGGTCCTATCTCAAAGACAGACTTTATATTATTCTGAAGGGCTATTTGTTATGATATTGAGCCGCGAGGGTTAGAAGGGCCAGGAGGGCAGGGGTCTCTTGATTTATGGAGTGACTGTCCAGCCTGTACTGCACAAATATACGCACACATATCAGAGCCCACATCCACTCTAGCACACACACTCAAAAACACACATCACACATTGCTTCCAGCTGGCTGCAGGTTCCGTTGGGAGATTTCCCCCCTCAAACACACACACACACACACACACGGCAGGAAGATCTAGATCAGGGGTGTCAAACACCAGGACCCAGAATCGTCCCTGCAAAGACGTCCAACTGGAGAGCTTCGGTAAATGTGAAAGAAGGCACTCATTTTCAACATTTAACTGTATTTTCGTAACTTTTACAGCTTTATCTTTACTGATAAAGACCTCCCATATGACCATTCATGCGATACCAAAGATTACACAGTGTATCTATTGGATACACTTCTTCTGTAACTCTTACAGTTTGAGAGTCGTGCTGACAGATTTCTTACTACAGCATTTATCATTTAAAAAACCTGAGGTGTACTGTTGAAATTGCACTTCTTTTTCTTGTATCTAGGATATCTCAGTGGTTGACTGTGTTGTTAAACTTCTTTACACTGACAGAAAGGGGAGTTTCACTAATATGGAAGCCTGTTTCCGCCACCAAAAAAAAAGGATCCATAACTCAAAATTTCGAGTCATTTTCTCAAAATTTCGAGTTATTTTCTCAAAATTTCGACATATTAACTCGAAATTTCGATTTATTAACTCAAAATTTTGAGAAAAGCAACTCGAAATTTCGAGTTAGCGCTGCCAATCAGTAATCTACGTGAATGACGTCATTTCCTTGTTACGCGGAAGCTGAAGCCCTTAGCTACAAATGCTACAGCTAAGCTACCGGTATTACATCCAGTCGTGAATGCACAGATTGCTGAGTGTTTTCAGCCTGGCTTCACAAATGATGAAATCCCCGTGTTATTAGCTGAATCACATGGTGTTACTATCAGCAAACGTATTCGCAAAAGCGCCAATTTGTTGGGATCCGTTTTTGAGTGCGCGTTCCTCTGCGCGATATGCTTCCGGGTAACAAGAAAGCGACCTCATTCACGTATATTTTTGATTGGCAGAGCTAACTCGAAATTTCGAGTTATGGATACAAGCTTTTTTGTTTTTATTTAGTGGCGGAAACGGGCTTCCATACACTAAGGATCAAAGTGGTCTGTATGTGAAATGAGTTTGTCCCCGACCCCTGATCTAGACTGGATGCTGTCAGCAGGATAGTTGTGCTCAGGATGAATCGCCTCTGGTTTGATGATTTTCCCTGCGTTTTCATCAGAACTCGTGTTTAATATCTAAGTTTATTTTGAAAGTCTGCATTATGATTTTTTTCAAAGTAGCCAATTATTCTTTAGTCTGAGTAGCGCTGTAGTTCCTCGGCTCCTGCTAAGGTTTCTGGGAAAGCTTCCTGTGGTCTTTCAAGGACTCATTTCAGATTATTAGGCCTCACTCTTTCAAATGCAGGGAACCACGTGAGACGCTGTGGCCGAGTTTTACTTCATTCTGCTGAATGAAATGAATCAAACTACCTTTGATTTGTTTTTTATCTTAACTTGTATGCAGGAAAAAAGTGCCCGACCAACACCCTGCTTCACATTTAGTCTCTTCCATAAGCACCCACCCAGACGCTGCCTATTAAAACCCCATTCTTCCACAGCTAGGCACACAGCAGCCGGATTCTTTTTTCTTTAGGTGATCAGCTGCTAATTAAGGAATATTTCTCTGTGACTCACCACCACGAGCACATTTTATTGCCGCTCAAAGAGCCGTCTCTTGTCAGTGTGATCAAACACATCACTTCACGTAGGAGAAGTTTCACTTGAAAGGTGCAGCGTGGAGACCCGGGTCTCCACCCGAGCTCACCGGCTGGTACATCTGTCCTGAGAGGTTGTGCAGCCGGCACGGCGTGAGGCTTTTTCAAACCAAAAATCCACTTTTTATTCAAAGCACTTTCCAAATCTGCATTTCAAAGTGCAGGATCTGAGAAAGAAACACATATTTGGTCATTGATAGTGACTAAGAAAAGGGTTCTTTGCTCCTTTGTGCAACATCTGAAAAATTGAGGGTTTTTTTCCTCCCTTAACGTCCAAGAAGTATATTTTTTCTTTGTTTTGCTCTTTCTGTAAATTGCATTTGTTTAGCCTCTGGTGGTGTAAACATCCAAGTGGTGTGCAAATGTTTGTCCTATCCATTTTCCCCAGGATCAAAGTGAAAAAGGAAAAAAGTATTGTTTTGCAAGCTGGATCACATGAACGCCTCGCCTTGCTATTAACAAATCCTAATTAAATAAACTTTACTGCTTAATCCAGATTTTTCTCCACTAAAGCCATAGCCTGCTTAGAGTAGATTTGTACACATTATGAATATTACCAGTTTTCTGGAAAGAAGGGCAACTTTGTGGCATGTTTTAAGCCTGTATGCTAATATTGGCCAATCCTTTTGTATATATATCAAAACTTTAGCACATAAAAGTGAGACTCTTTGAATGGTTGCACATTATTGTGTGCAAGGAATAAAAATGGTTCTAAACCAAGTGAGTGCCTCATACAAAGAAACACTTCTAGCTGCTGCTGCTGCTCATTCAGAGCTGCCATACGAGGTTGTGCTCGAGCGCTCGCCTTCCATAAAGCACAAGTGAGCTATGAGTCTCTGGAGATTATTATATCTATGTCATAAACCCAAATTTCCCATGTTTTAAGACCTGGAGATATTCTGTGGCCTGTATTCTGCGTTTGTTCCATAGCCATTCATTCATTCATTCATTCATGCTGGGCTTGGATTTATGCGTTCGGCACTGTTGCCTCAATGTTTTTCTTCTCCTGAATGGACCTTTTTTTTGTTTGAACAAAAAGCATTGTAAATGCGGCTGTCAAAGCCAGAGGCTACACAGAGAACTGCACAGCGGCGTTCAGCACATTGACTTAATATCTCCAGGATTTTTTAATGGGTCGATGGATGCAATAAGACAGAGAAAAAGACGCACAAATCATCTGTCCCGTTCATTTTATTCATGATCCACGCTACATGGGAGAAATGCGTTGGGCTTGTTGACTCCAACACATTTATCTAATGGCTGAAGTTGCTTTGTGCGTTACTTGTTTAAGTTTAATATCAGGGTGATAGTTAGTAAATTAATTGGCCTTTTTTTTTAAATCATGGAGCATTTCTCCAGAGGGCTGCGTTCACGATCGCTGCTTGAGTAACATCGTTGCCCTTTTAGCGGGTCAACAGTGGGTGTATTTGCCATCGCAAATCACACTCTTAACACACCTCATTCACTGTTTCCCATGGGTGGGTGGGTGGGTGTGCACTTGTGCGAGCAAACAAGTGTGCGTTGTGTACCCTGTTGCCTGAGCAGCTCATTCGAAGACTTTTACAGTGGCTACATTCCCGCGTGTGTGAAAGCGTCTGTGACGTCCTCGTAAGTGTCCTAAATGTGTGTGTTTTTTAAAGTGTGTTTGCTTAAATAAGCTAGTAAATAAACCAGTGGGCGCATAAGGCCATCTTTCTTGTGTCTCTGCAATGGGTGATGACGTGTGATTAAGTTCAGAATAAGAAGACATCTCTAATGAGGGGACTGCAGGAGACACGAGGGGAGCCAGAGTTTGTTTATCCAGACGTGTCCCTCCATGTCTCCACCGTCCTCCAGTGGAGGCTGGCATCCTTAGCAAGGCTTGTAAACATGTTGATTTTTCCTTGGCTCTAACCAAGCTGGCTCACGGAGCTCGCGGAGTAAATGAGCTGGTGTTTGACCAGGGCCAGCTGAGGAGGAGGCGTGGAGACGAGGGAGGGAGGGGTGAGGGTGGGGAGGTCATTTCCACACAGATCTGCATACTCGACAATTTAAAAAAAAGTTGCACTTTTCTGACTTCCAGGGTCAAATTACTTAATTCTGCTACTTTATTGCTTTTTTGAAGGTTGATATGGGCAGAGGTGTCCGATCTTGCTTTATTATCAGATTGTTTTTTGACTTAGAGGTGAGGCTAAATACTGACCCCGTGCATGAAGTTGATTGCATTTATTAAAAATTTCTTCTTACATAAACCATTCCTTCTTTTTTTGTTTGCAGACCCTGTATCCAGTGAGACGGCCTTCCTGGAGGACTATGTTCTGGGCATCGGGGACACTCTGGAAATGTCATGTGACCCGGAAGAGCAGGAAGACCACACGGAGCCTATTGTGTGGTTAAAAGACGGCGCTGGACTTGTGCCTTGCAACCGGATACGGTTGGGCCAGAGGATGCTCCGCATTATCAATGTGTCGTATGACGACTCCGGGGTCTACTCGTGCCGGCTCGCTCGGAGCAACACGCTGCTCAGCAACTACACCATCAGGGTGACAGGTGAGAGCGTGGGGAAAGTGTGTAGAAAAGACAAAAGTTGTTGAGTATCTGAAAACTTTGAGTAGGGCCATCTAGCCTTATATTTAAATGCAAAAGTGGAAGGCAGATACGTTAACTGTTGAGCTTTAAATAGGATACGAGACCCACAATATTTTTAAGATAGTTGAGTTACTAGCAGAGCTCCAGCAGAAACAGGCGCTTTGGCTGCACCTCGCAGAGCTCTCTGAAATCCGACCTGTCTCGGTTGTTCTGCCTGTCTGACAGACAAACCGAGTCTGAAAGTATTTTCTATCAATAAATATACTCAAACAGTTACAGTAGCGCTGTCTCTACATGACAGCTGTTTATAGAGAAACACTGAAAACTTAGCTCAGGAGGAAATTTCTATTATTTGCTACTCCTGCTCAGTTTCAGCTCCATGTCATCTGCCTGCCAAGCTGCACACACACACACACACACCAACACACACACAAGCACATATCCAGCATACCGGTACAGGCTTTCACCAGCTAACACCCAGCCAAGCTTCACACAGATTCCCACCTCCTGATGCATACTCAAAGGTGAAATTCATTATCCGGCGAGGGGATGGGAAACATTTTAAACAAGTGTGCGATGCAAGCGGAGCTCTAATAGGAATGCTTGTGTAGGGGGTGGGGGAGGCTCTGTGTGTGGGTGTGTGTGTGTGTGCTTAAAAGTGGAGCCGCATTTACCCGTAAAACTCATGGACACCAACTGAGCCTGTTATTGACAACTAATTAGAAAGCAATTAGCTTGAAACATTTCATCATTGAAAGCAGATGGGGTGGCAAGAAATGAGAGAGTTCACTCTCTGCTCACTCACCCCACCTCCTCACACACACACACACACACACACGCACACACACACACACACACACACACACACACACACACACACACACACATGCACACACACAGTGTGATTTGTTTGGCAGAAAACTGGGAAGAAAATGGGCAT